CCCAGGAGGTGGACACTACAGTGAGCCGCGATTGTGCTAATACACTCCAGCCTGGGAGATAGAAACACTGTCTCAAAAAAAATTATGATCCAGAAATTACACGATTTGCCTGAGGTTATCATCCTAAGTAAAATACAATTGTGAAAGTAAATGATGAAGATTTTGAGGTTATAAAGTGATACAGTAGAATCTCAAAGCCAGGTAGAAGTATTCTGGGTTCTATTTTGGGGTTATCTATTCTCATGAGAAATTGAGAGCTGACAATTTGAGAGAAGCAGTTATCCCAGGTCAGAAAGGAAGACCACACTAAGTACCCAGTTCCCATTTCTCACAGCCTTCATTCCAAATCCTTGGATTTGGATCAAATAGAGGATTGATAGAAATCTTTACAGAAGCTCTTGGGAACGACTTAGAGAGGTGGCAGAGAGAGTGAGCTATGTTCCCATGAATTTCAAGACTATCCAGGGTCCCAAAGAGTATATACATTTTATCACTGGCTACCTTGAGAAATGACAGTACTTTGGACAAAAACACCACTTGCAACTCCCTTTCTAAGAGCAGGAACTAGCAAACAAGTGCTTAAGGATAGGGTTTAAGTGTACTAAGTAACGTGGAAATACTCAACTCTTCCTTCTTAATGTTTAATCCATATTTGCTTTTTTTTTTTTTTTTTTTGAGACATACTTTTGCTCTTGTTGCCCAGGCTGGAGTGCAACGGCATGATCTTGGCTCACTGCAACCTCTGCCTCCTGGGTTCAAGCAATTCTCCTGCCTCAGCCTCCCTAGTAGCCGGGATCACAAGGACCCGCCAGGATACCCAGCTAATTTTTTGTATTTTTAGTAGAGACAGGGTTTCACTATGTTGGCCAGGCTGGTCTCCAACTCCTGACCTCAGGCGATCCACCCGCCTTGGCCTCCCAAAGTGCTGGGATTACAGGCGTGAGCCATTGCGCCTGGCTGTAATCCATATTTTCTTTTTTTTTTTTGAGACGGAGTCTCGCTCTGTCACCCAGGCTGGAGTGCAGTGGCTCAATCTCAGCTCACTGCAAGCTCCGCCTTCCAGGTTCACACCATTCTCCTGCCTCAGCCTCCAGAGTAGCTGGGACTACAGGTGTCCACCACCACGCCCAGCTAATTTTTTGTACTTTTAGTAGAGACAGGGTTTCACCGTGTTAGCCAGGATGGTCTCAATCTCCTGATCTCGTGATCCGCCCACCTCAGCCTCCCAAAGTCTAATCCATATTTTCTAAGTGTTTATTCACATCACCATGAGAGAAAATTTTCATTTCTTATGTCTTTGAAGACAAAGTACTTTAGTGAGCTCATTTCCGACCCAATGTCTAACTTATAAGGGGGTGTTAGAGTATAGGGAAGTCTTCCTGCTTTCATGTTTTTCTCAGTATCTCTTATCATTCTAACTTTCATGAACCCAAGTTTTTCAAGTATCTTTCATTCTCAATTTTTAAAACACCTGCCATTTAAATTTTCAATAAGGACTTTTAGACTCCAAATTTCAGTTTACTTTTAAGTTTGCTAATATAAACCTACTACTTTTGAATGTAAGAAAGATAATGTTCCATTACTAAACTGCATATAAGTTCTCAAAAACAGCAAAATCTCCAATTCCATTCTTTCCTAGATGTACTCTAATTCCAATTGTGGATTTGTTCTAGAATTGGACCCCCTGTCATAGAGACCCCCATCTCTAAAAAAAAAAAAAAAAAAGACAAACTTTTTTTTATTAGCTGGCTATGGTGACATGCACCTGTGGTCCCAGCTACTCAGGAGGCTGAGGTGGAGGGATCACTTGAGCCCAGGAGTCAGAGACTGCAGTGAGCTGTGATCACGCCACTGTATTCCAGCCTTGGTGACAGAGCAAGACCCTGTCTCAAAAATGAATAAACATTTAAAAAAAAAATATGCATGAGTGACTTTTCAGGCATCAGAAAGGCACTTTTCCTATTTCTAAGTTAGCGGTCTCTCGGATTCCTGTGTTTTCTGAACACCAACCTCTGCATTTCAACTTCTAACATCAGATGACATTGCATCCCCATTCCATTTCTCCTCTTATGGGAAAACTAGAAAATCAGTTCAGTGAAAGTAGCTTCTGTTAGCATTGCTGGTTTATCTGGTAGTTTCCTCACGGTTGGCCTGTCAAACACTGTTGATTACTTTATTACAGGCCAGATATGATAACTGCCCTCAGTTGCTCCAGAAAATGGCATAGAAGTTAAGTAATTATTTGTCAAAGGTTTCACTGTCATAGCAACCAGGACTTTTGAGAGTCCTCTGTAAGTCTACCCTTCTCTGAAAACAAGTGTTTTTCTGATTGGAGTTCAGAAAACGCACACAAATCCACAGGGCACACCACAGCCATATTTAAGCAGTACCCTCTCCAAAGCTCATTCAAAGTATTTGGGCCCACATTCAAAACACTCTCCCACACTCCATCCAGTTCCACAGATGGCAACTGCTCCCTTCCATTTTACCTTGACTTGATTTTGGCCTCCTTGTCTTACCTTCCTCTGGGTCAACCTGAAAGTAATGAAGGTTTCTGCACAGAACACAATGATTTTCATGAAGTCTTTCTGACAGAATTTGGTTAACAGTACTGATTTTCCGCACAGGTTACATCTGCTTCTGATAATGCTCCATTATATCTCCTGAGGTATTTATACAAAATAACCCCACAAGTGCAAGAAAAGTCAGCAAAAAGCACAGTCACAATACCCATAGTTATGGTATGATGCTGAAATTATGAAGCCAAAACAAAGTTTTCTTCTTTTTTTTTTTGAACCAGAGTTTAGCTCTTGTCATCCAGGCTGGAGTGCAATGGCGTGGTATCGGCTCACTGCGAATTCTGCCTCCCAGGTTCAAGCGATTCTCCTGTCTCAGCCTCCCAAGTAGCTGGGATTACAGACGTGTACCACCATGCCCAGCTAATTTTGTATTTTCAGTAGAGATGGGGTTTCATTATGTTGGTGAGGCTGGTCTCAAACTCCTGACCTCAGGTGATCCACCCACCTCGGCCTCTCAAAGTGCTAGGATTACAGGCATGAGCCACTGCGCCCGGCCCAAAGCTTTCTTCTTTAAACTGATTTCACCTGTTAGCATTATTATACTTCCAATCTATCTTCTTATAAGGGCAAGGGGAAAAACCTGCTGCAAAGTCAAATGTAAATAGAAAATTTGTTTTTATCAAGCGAGGGACAAACTAGCTTTGATGATTAGAATCAGGGACCATCTTTTAAAAATCACATACTTCTAATTTTTAAGTTTTGGGTCAGGAGAGGCTTTTTAAAAAATTGCTAGTTCTACTACTAATGTGTTCTAGTATTACTATAGAAATCAGATATCAATTGTCCTAGCAAATAAAAACAATAATGAGGGCTGGGCGTGGTGGCTCACACCTGTAATCTCAGCACTTTGGGAGGCCGAGGCAGGCAGACTATCTGAGGTCAGGAGTTCGAGACCAGTCTGGCCAACATGTGAAACCCCTTCTCTACTAAACATACAAAAATTAGCTGGGCATGGTGGTACATGCCTGTAGTCCCAGCTACTTGGGAGGCTGAGGCCGGAGAATCGCTTGAACCTGGGAGACGGAGGTTGCAGTGAGCTGAGATTGCACCACTGCACTCCAGCGTGGGTGACAGAGACTCCGTCTAAATAAATAAATAAATAAACAAACCCAAACCAATGATTATTCCATAGCAAAAGTGGGAAAACCAGGTGGTAAGAGAAAACCTCTCACAATAGGATCTTTATCTGTGAAATAAGGAATCGACCAACAGAAGGGTCTGTTAAAAATTTTCCTCTCTTGGTCCAGGCAGGTTCTCTAAACTCCCAATCCCAAAAGCAGTTAATTTTTTCACGATTTCTGTAAAATGGATGGCCTTAAAATTCTTTTGTTCTCTAGTGTAGCTTTTCAGAAGGAAGTAAGTTTCCTTATCAAGAATGAATCTAGCTTCCCCGACTCAAAGAAAACCATCTTCTCTATATTGCTCCATATCACAATAAATTTAAGTGTCTTCCTTTTCTAAATTAAATGCTGTTCCCTTCAACTTAAGGGCCACACACTAAGGGCTATTCCTTTAGAGGCTTTTGGGCCTCACAGATCACAAAGGTGGTGCCCTGCCCCAGTTCTTTTTGGACATTTAAAAGGGCATCCACTTTCTTGCCCTCAGGATGACATTATGGGAACAATGAACATAAATAAGACAGTTAAATAAGCTTCCTTGATGCCTATCCAATGCAGCTTTCAACTCTTCTACCCTGCCTTGTTCTTTAGATCGTGCTGTAGTCTGGAGGATAAACTCTTCACACAATCACTCCCAAGCCCTCATGTTCCTGTCCACTCTTCCTCCCTCACCTTTTAAGTGTGATAGGGCCTTGATGGGAATACCTCACTTCACCTTTTGTCTCAAGTCCATCTGCTTCCTTCCAGAGCTACAAAGGTAGGCCAGGGCCACTGAGACGTGGCCATAGGGTATATGGGGGCTGGCAGAGTCACTCGCACCTTCTGGGGTGTCCCTTCTTCCACCTGTCAACTGAACACCCGTTTCTTAAATATTTATCCCCAAAAGTCCCATCTCATTCTGAAAGGGGATGAACTACCTACCCCACGAGCCCTTTGTCCCAAGCTTCTACACCTCACACACATCCTCATCCACAAAGCGTCCATCCTAACACAGGCAGGAGGTCGGCTAGGCACAGGGCAGGGGAGACTAGGTTTTTGCATCTGGTAAAGGATGGATTATGTCTCAGGTTCTTCCAGGATCCCAAATTCTATAATTCTACCACCAAGCCTGCGGGTCCTATTTCTGCGGTGGAAAGGGCGAACCCCAAGGCGACCCTTCACTCCGCCCGCCTGCAGGCAGTTGGAATGAGCCCCCTCCAGCCCCGGCTCTGCGAGTCCACGCCTCCAACCTCCGGCGCCGGGCCGCGGAGGAGGCCCTGTCGCCGCCAGCTCCCAGCCGCGCCATGCCCTCTTTCGCCCTCACCCGCCGCCGTTGGCCGCCTCTCACCACCTGGCACGCTGGCATCGCCCACTCCGCGCTGCACTGGAGACCATGGGTCCCGGGGGGTCTCGGCGGCCACCCATCCGCTTTAAGGAAGGCTGGCGGGGATGCGCGGGCCCCGGAGCCCAGGGCGCCGCCACCCGGAACGCGCCGCCTGGTTTCTAAGGAACGGGGGGCTCTGGAAAGGGAGGGGCGGGACGGCATATGGACTGCGCATGCTCTATAACGGGGGTGGGCCTACACTGGGAGGGGCCGTAGCGGGGAACTGCGCATGCTCGCAGGTTGGGGGCGGAGCTTAAGCAGCCTGGCTAGGAGGCTCAGGTCGTTCATTTCCGGCGGCAGAGGCGGCGGAGCCTGCGGTTTCTTAAGCTTGGCTTCTCTCCGGTCCGCTGACTGGCGTCAAGAACCAGGTTTTGGGAGCTGTGGTTAGCCTTGGTGGTCCTGGAATGAAAGACGATTTCTTGTTGGACAACGACATAACTGCAGAAGGCCAGTTCTCTCGAACTCGTCGGACTTCCTGGCTTCCTGACTCCCAGTGACTCGTTTTTCCGTTTTCTCAGGTGCCTATCTGGGCTCCTCTTCCTCTGGATGTTTTTTGATTGTTCTTTAAATATCAGTGCTCTTCAAGACTGTGACCTCAGTCCCCTTGGCCTCTTTACTGAAGCCTGTGCCCCACCAAAGTAAATAGAAGACTGTCCGCTAGAGTAAGGAAGCCGGTAGATCTTAGAATAAAACTGGCTGTGTAGGAAATGTGATTGGGGTTTGTATCTGCATGGGGAGCCCCCATCCCTGCTTGTCTGACCCTCCTGCTGAGTATCAAGATCCCCGCTCAGCTGGCATTAGGATGGTCTCCCAGCCATCATTCCAGAGCAGCCTGTGATGACAATGTGTCAGCTGACCTAAGCGTGAGGCAGTTCCTACTGAGATATGCTAACTAGCAGTAGAGCTATCCCTGCTTTGAGCGGAGGAGACAGGACTCCTACCACCTGTGAGCATGGAAGGCTCCCAGAGTGATAAGAAGTTGTAACCCCTAAACCCCCCCTCTTCTAATGGTGTTTTATCCTTTCTCTCCTGGATCCTCAAGAGCCAGGCGGAAGGGAGGCAGAGTCAAAATGTGCCTGTTTGATCTGTTTCTTAGTCATTGTTCAGAGTTCCACTCTTCTTGAGTAAGATTTCTCAACAATGGCACTACTGACATTTTGGACCTGATAATTCTTTGTTGGGCAGGGATGGGGGGAGCTGTCTGCATTGTAGGATGTTTGGCAGCATCCCTGGCTCTACCCAGTAGATGCCAGTAGCACCCCAAGCCCAGTTGTGACTACCAAAAAATCTCCAGACATTGCCAAGTGTCTCCCTGGGAGCAAAATCATTCCCAATTGAGAACCACTAGTCTGGAGGAAAATGAGCCTACTCTGGCTCTATTTATATAGAACCAGCACTTTATGCTTAATCTAAAACCCACATTTTCCCCTCTATGCTACCTCTTTCCTAAGAGGACCCTTTTTTCTTTTTTTTTTTTTTTTTGAGATGGAGTCCCACTGCCTCACCAAGGCTGGAGTGCAGTGGCATCATCTCGGCTCACTGCAAGCTCCGCCTCCCGAGTTCACTCCATTCTCCTGCCTCAGCCTCCCGAGTAGCTGGGACTACAGGTGCCTGCCACCACACCTGGCTAATTTTTTTTTTTTTTTTTTTTTTGTATTTTTAGTAGAGATGGGGTTTCACCGTGGTCTGGATCTCCTGACCTCGTGATCCACCCACCTCGGCCTCCCAAAGTGCTGGGATTACAGGCGTGAGCCACCGCACCCAGCCCCTAAGAGCATTCTATAGAGTAATAGTCCTATAAGATTCTACTGAGTGACACAGTCTAGTAATGTAAGTTTGGAAAGTGCAGGGTTAAACAACACATTTCAACACAGGATTGTGAGCTTTTAATTAGCTGGTGGCAATCACTGTGAACATCTGTAAGACAGTTTTCCTAATTTACCAGACCACAGAAAAACCCTTTTCCTTTGGCAAACCTCCCAATTCCAGTGACTTTTAACCACTGCCTGCCCCCTTCTGTTATCTGTGTTATTTTGTGGTACTATTATCCATCCTGTCACCCCCAACCAAAGTCTGCACTTGCCTTGTCTCTTGCTTCTCCTATTTCCCTCACATTGTTATTCATCTTGTTGTACCTCCATTTCTCTCCTAAATATTTCTCAAACCTGCCCTCTTTGCAGCCTCCTGCCCGGGTTCTTTTGCTCCCATTTGTCTCCAGTACCACCTCCAGGTGGACACCAGCATGATCTACCATATCCCTCCTCTGCATAAAACCCTGGTGCCTTGGGGACAGGGGAGGCAGGAGTGGGCCAGTCACACCAGTGGGCATCCTCATGGAGGAAGGATGCTCGTGTACTGTGTGTGTCCCTGTGTGCCAAGCGCTGCTGTATATCTGCCATAATCCCCTACCTCCACGGGGCAGAAGGATTTACCATGTTTTAAGGATGGGGAAACAGTCTGGGAGGAAGAGGTTAACTTTCCATGTTAACACAGTAAACAGGGCTGTCGATGCAAGGATTTTGAACACAAGCTCTTGCTCCTCAGACAAGAGACAGGAAGCTAATTTCAATACCCGTCAGGCTGGGTGCCGTGGCTCACGCCCGTTATCCTAGTACTTTGGGAGGCCAAGGCAGGAGGATTGCTTGAGACCAGGAGTTTGAGACCAGCCTGGCCAACATGGTGAAACTTCTCTATAAAATATACAAAACTTAGCCAGGCATGGGGACACATACCTGTAGTTTTAGCAACTTGGGAGGCTGAGGTGGGAGGATCGCATGAGCCTGGGAGGTTGAGGTAGCAGTGAGCCATAATCATGCCACTGCACTCCAGCCTGGGAGACAGAGCAAGATTTTGTCTCAAAGAAAACCACCCCAAAAACAACAACTCTCAAGAGGTATGCTCAGAAAACTTTCTGACTGTGCAATATTTGAGGAGAATATATTTAGAATTTTTTTTTTCAGACAGGGCCTTGCTCTGTCATCCAGGCTGGAGTACAGTGGCTCAATCATGGCTCACTGCAACCTCAACCACCCAGGCTCAAGCAATCCTCCAGCCTCAGCCTCCTGAGAAGCTGGGACCACAGGCACACACCAACATGTCTAATTTTTTCAATTTTTTGTAGAGACAGGGTCTCACTATGTTGCCCAGATTGGCCTTGAATTCCTGGGGTCAAGCGATCCTCCTGCCTTGGTCTCCCAAAGTGCCGGGATTACAGGCATGAGCCACTGCACCTGGCCCTGGAATGTTTTGTTGTTGTTGTTTGAGATGGAGTTTTGCTCTTGTCACCCAGGGTGGAGTGCAGTGGTGCGATCTTGGCTTACTGAAACCTTTGCCTCTCAGGTTCAAGCAATTCTCCTGCCTCAGCCTCCCTAGTAGCCGGGATTACAGGAGCCCGCCACCACGCCCGGCTAATTTTTGTACTTTTAGTAGAGACGGGATTTCACCATGTTGGCTTAGGCTGGTCTCAAACTCCTGACCTCAGGTGATCTGCTCGCCTCGACCTCCCAAAGTGCTGAGATTACAGGTGTGAGCCACTACACCTGGCTCTGGAATGTATTCTTAATATCTTATTTTTGTTGGGAGAAGTTCCTGTGGCCCACCTTTATTTAGTTGAATTTTTTTTTTGAGACAGGGTCTCACTCTGTCACCCAGGCTGGAGTGCAGTGGTACGATCTCAGCTGACTGCAGCCTTGACCCAGGCTGGAGTGCAGTGGTGTGACTTCGGCTCACTGCAAGCTCCACGTCCCAGGTTCACACCATTCTCCTGCCTCAGCCTCCCGAGTAACTGGGACTACAGGCACCTGCCACCATGCCCAGCTAATTTTTTGTATTTTTAGTAGAGACGGGGTTTCACCATGTTAGCCAGGATGGTCTCGATCTCCTGACCTGGTGATCCACCCGCCTCGGCCTCCCAAAGTGCTGGGATTACAGGCGTGAGCCACTGCACCTGGCCAATTTTTGTATTTTTTGTAGAGACAGGGTTTCGCCATGTTGCCCAGGCTGTTCTTGAACTCCTGAGCTCAAGGGATCCACCTGCCTCAGCCTCCCAACGTGCTAAGATTATTGGCGTGAGCCACTGCTCCTGGGCTCTTTAGGTGAATTTGCTACTTTTTCCTTGTCTAAGATGAAAGCCGTTTCAAGAGAGAACTGAGGTTTAAGTACCTGTCCTCTTTGGGGTCTTACAAATACAGTTTCAAGGGTCCTTGAGGAAGGCACCTGAGGGCCTGGGCACTTGAGAGGCTGGGAAGGGCCCAAATCCTTTAGGACAGGATGTGTCACAGAAGGGGTGCCAACCTCAATAAGACTCAAAACAGAGACCAGACACACATGACTGCTCATGGATGTGTATTTTAATAAAAATAATTCTGTCAAAATACAACAGGAGTTTTTTTTTTAATCTCTCAAGTACAATTTTAATAAGATGTTTTGTGTTAGAGTTCTCTCTCCATCCTCCCACACCCACAAGTTTCATGCTAATGCCAAGTATCAACTCTCGAGGACAAAGGCAAAACCAGTGTGCACAATGTGGAGGATGTCTGTTTCAGCTGTAGTTACTAATGGAGGAAAACCCGATGCAAAGAGGCAAATGCCTGAGGCAGCCAGAGGCCACAATCTGGCCACAGGTCTGGGTGCATGACACTGGCAGTCTAGTAGGGCTCCGCTGCCTGGCTGCCACACGGGTGCATACCTGAGTTGTGAGCAACCAAAGGAACTTTCAGCTCTGACAGTTCTCTGCCTTATCTTCTTTGTGCTTGCTTAAGGAGTGGGAAGGCGCTGGGTGGCCAGGCAGTCCCCACTTCTGTCTCGTGGTGTCCGTTTTCATGGCCTGCACCCAGCCACAGACCCATGTGGATGGGAATGGGGGTTCTGGCTTGCTATGAGTGCCAGTTTTTGCTCTGGAAGGAGTGACCATTTGGTGCCACAAGGGGAAAGTGAGTAGGGAAGGCTGCTCCCCAGAGCCGGACAAACCAAGAAAGCCAGGTCTTCCTCCTGCCGCCACGAGTCAGGTCCAGCCCTTCACCAGGGCTCCCCCAGGTGCCTTTCCCACTCTAGGCTCCTGGAAGCAGGCTGGTAGGACTGGATGTGCATAAGGGGCACCTCCGGCTGGCAGGCAGGCCTGGACTCTCAGCAAGAGAGTGGGCTCAAGCAGCTTGGTTTTGGCTCTCTCCACAGCTTGTGGGGCAAAGGCTTATGTCCCAAAGGTGAGCTGCCCAACTGGGACAGAGAGCCCCTCTGGAGAGGAACAGAGTAAACAACTTGGACTCAGCTGAAACAGTGAAATAAGGCACAGAAAATGGGGAGGTGGCCATGGGTACCGAGTGCAAGCCAGGCAGACACCCAACCCCATGCAGCACACAGCTGTCCCGAGCCCTCCTGGGCCCTCTCAGCCACTCCACAACCTAAGCTCAGGCACCCATCCTCATCCCTGACACAGCCCTGAAGGTAGCAGCTTCTCACATACTGCTGGAGGGCACATCAGCCTAACCCCTCATGGGGCTTATCTGCCATTCAGTTTCAGGACTAAATAAACAGTGTTGCCCAACCCACAGGGATAAGGGATAGTCTCGGCTCGGCTACTAATTTGCTGTGTGACTTTAGCCAAGTCACTTAATCTCCTGGGTCTGTTTCCTTATCTGTAGCAGGAGAGGAATGGGTGTTCACTGAACCCCATTCCAACTGCAAAAGCCTGTGGTTTCAATTCCCAGTCCTGCTAGGCTGTGATCATTTTAACAGCCTGATATTTCCAGCCTCTGGGTTTGGGAGCTAGGTAGCCCCAGGCTGTCACAAGAGATGAATTTCCTTTATGGACAGGACACCTCCTAACAGGCCATGGTCTATGGGCCTGCCAGCCCCAAGGACCAAGAAAAAGCAGCAGCTATAGGATCATTTCCCAAGGCAGAATTCTGAGAGCACAGGGCCCAGGGCCCTGGCCCCATCACCAGCAGTTGGTCCAATTCAATCATTTTTCTTGTTGCCCAGCTGTGGGCCCAGTGAGACCTGGTGAGCAATGAGTATCTCAGGCCACACCAACCATTCCCATGTCCACCAATATGGAGCAGGAGCTTGCACAGCCCAGATTCAGGCAGGGACTGAAAGTTCAACTTCTGGCCTTGCCATGGCTGACCCTACTCTTTGCATGGGCGGCTTCTGCACTCCCCTCACACTGTGAAGCACGTATGATAATTCCAGCCCGTCCTGGTGCTCCTCTGTGTAGGCTTCCTCCCTTTCCTCCTCCAGGGCAGCCAGTCCTCTCCACAGATGGGCCACCCCAAGTCCTGGCAACCATCTCAGCCTTTCCTTTTCTGATTCCCCAATGGTAGCGGGACCATTTTTACTCCGCCAGCTGTGAGGATCTATCTGAAACAGCTGGTGGGACATCTGTAAAGCTGATGGAGTCCCATCCTCTGGCCAGCAAATACTCCCAACAGTCTTTCCTAAGACTGGCTAGGGTCCAGCTGCAGGGAGCTGTCTGGTACAGTGGCAGTGAAGTCTGGCCTAGGGGATCAAGGATTCCAAACACTCCCTGGAGTAGCAGCCCAAGAACCTGCCTCCACAAGGTACTGGTTTCTCAAGAGAAAGCATCCATTACTCTCAGAGCTGTGCAGAGATGGTGAAGATCCAGGCAGGAAGAAAGCAGCCCCTATACTCAAGGGCCTCTGTCCTGGGAATGGAGTCTTCTTTCTGGCAGCCTGACACACAGAAGCTCTCAGGACGAAGGCAGGTAGTTTCCAGGCAATCAATTTAGAGTAAATGTATTATTTGGCCATCTTAACAACAAGGGAAGGTAGGGTATTGAAAAGGGAGGAAAGGGGAGCAAGGCAGGCAGTGGGAGGTGGGGTAGAGTGGTAGATAGTGTGCTGGCCAAGGACCCTCTCCCTCTGCTGTGTGGCCCTGGGTCAAGTTATCACTTCTCTGGACCCTTGGCCCTGTAGTTCTCTGCTCTGTCCAGCTCTCAGGGGCCTAGGGACCCACAGTTCTTGGGGTGCTATAAACCAACATAACCATGCCCACTAAGTGGCCCACCAAACCCTATTTGGGTTTCCTAGGCTGCAGCTCGGCCTGTGACTCAAAAAAGGGGGAGCAAAAAATAAATCACTTGGCTGAGGTGACAGAGATGATTCTTTTTTAATGAGTTGGACTCAAAGAAAACATGGTGCCTGGACAGCCTCACCCAAGAGGTGCTGGACCACTAATGCTACGATAAATACTGTCTTTTTTTAAATATATATATATTTATATATATATATATATATATAAAATCTCATTTGTTTTTTATTTATGAAAATAATAAGCTATCACCAACTTGGATAGGCTTCATCACTAAATTAGCAGAAACCAGCTCAGCACAAACTCTCCAGAGATAAATACTGGTGGCTCAGTCAGGAGAAAAAAAATTTTAAAACCCCAACCCCTCCTCAAAACAAACCCCCCCCTTTCAAAATAGAAGGCGCTACATGAGAGTAACCAGCCAATACTGTGTCACAGGCCACTGCACGTGAAGGGGAGAGAGAGAGACTGAGGGGGTGGTGGGCAGAGAAAGGAAGGAAGGAAGGAAAGGGAGAGGGGAAAAGGCCAGGCAGGAGGAGTGGACTCTGTCCATGGCTTCCCAGTCCCTGCACCAGGTGCCTATGGAGGGCAGGGCAGCTCCAGCCCTGGGGCCAGCAGAGGGCCAGCCGGAGCCAGCCAGCACGGTCAGCTAGTGCAAGTAGTCGTCGACTCTGGCAAAGGAGCAAGAACCCAGGCCTGCTCGGGCCATGAGCCGGAGACACTCAGATGCCTGGCCCAGGGCGAGCATCAGAGGGGGCTGCTTTGGCAGGTTCTGGGACTCTGTGGAGGAAAGAAAAGGCCTGGTCACTGCCCTGCCCAGGATTTGGGCCCAGGTCAAAGTTCCCTTGGGAGTGGAAAGAGGGGGCAGTGGACAGATTCTCTTGGAACAGAGTGTTCAGTACCTCTGTGTAAGTGTGTCCCAGCCACCAGGCCATGGCCCTGAGGTCATGCCAGCAACCTGAGGTCCTTAGCCCTGTGTAGAGCACTGGGCTGGCCTGGGCCCACCGCCATGGCCTAGGACCCATCATGAACTCAGCTGGGCAGATGGAGGTCAGGGTTTAGGTTCAACCATGGGAGCCCAGGAGTCCTGAGTCACCAGAGAGGGCCTATGCAGAGCCTGCTGCCCCAGTGTGGACAAACAGCTCTTACTGGGGCCAATTGGGGTGGGGGGTGGGAACCACCCAGGTAGCCATGGGCCAGCTTCTGTTTTTGTTAGATCCACTCACCTAGGCCATGCATGGTGGCTCACACCTGTAATCCCAGCACTTTGGTGGGCTGAAGCAGGCAGATCACCTGAGGCCAGGAGTTCAAGACCAACCTGGCCAACATGGCAAAACCCCATCTCTACAAAAAATACAACTAGCCAGGCATGGTGGCATGCACCTTAGTCCCAGCGACTCCGGAGGCTGAGGCACGAAAATCGCTTAAACCCGGGAGGCGGAGGTGGAGATTGCGGTGAGCCAAGATTGTGCCACTGCACTCCAGCTTGGGCTACAGAGCAGATTCTGTCTCTAATAATAATAAAAAATAGATTCACTCACCTAAAATGGCGCTGTTGAGGGCAGCACACACAGGTTCCCTCTGGATGGGGTCAAGCTGCTGGCCTACTGGGCAGCTCCAGGGGTCTGAGTATGCCAGCAGGCTGAAGGCATCCTATAGAACAGGGCATTCTTGAGAGGACTGTGGCACACACCATAGCCCGCCCTGCTACCCATGGCTCCAGAGGGAGACAGGGCCCTGCATGATGCCCAGCCTGGAATGTGGGGTGTAGGGTCGAGCAGGGCTATACTCTCCCCAGAGCCTGGACACGTATGTCCAGTGGGCCCAGATGCCCCATTTCCCTCTGCAGACCTGGCTGGAGCCCACTCTTTCCTGCTGCCCCCTGGACTCTCCCAGAGCTACCCTGCCCCCAACACCAAATGGGGCCTGCTCTGCATGAGGTCTGGCTCATCCTGTACCTGCAACATCTCTGTGTGGGCCAAATTCTTGCCATACTCCCGGCCCAACTGCTCACTCAATGCCTGCAACTCACGGCCAAACAGAATGATCCTTTCTGTGGCAGCCTGGTTGCCCCCACAGAGCTGCCGCCGAGGATGCCCGTCATCTGCATCCAGAACGCAGTGGAGAATACATTAGGAGAGGTGAGGAGGGAAGGGCAGGACTAGGGTGGGGCAGGAAGGACTGGGAGGAACAGGTAAGGCAGCTACAGTTGAGGCATTCTTCTCTTCATCCACCTGGCACACAGTCTAGGGTTCAGGGAGGACTTGGAAGCTGTCCCTCTTCCCAGTCCGCACAGACGCAGGGTGCTCATTAGGGTGGCCACACTCTCGAACACACTCTAGCCTCAAACACAGGTGGTCCTGTCACAGGCCAGGGCCTTCGTACATTTGGAGCCACCTCAAGGACCCATCCACAATTGGCTAAGGAGGCAGTGGACGAGGTCTGGCTGGAGCTTCTCAAGATGCCAAAGCCTGCCTAGCCCAGCTCCTCCCAGGGGAAGAGGGCACCCAGACTGCACACTGCCCTCAAAGAATAGCACACCAGACCGTGGCTCTCACCCATGCTGGACTCATCCGTCTGCAGGTCCTCATGCTTGTAGGCACCGTTAACAATGCGCGTGGACATGCTTCCTAGCACACCGTTGGGGTAGTGCTCTGCCTCCATCTCCATCTCACTGTCGCTGTGGGGAAGGGTTGAGGTGGGAGTTGGCCCAGGGGGTGTGGTTGGAGCAGCCTGGTTGGGCCTCCTTTCAGGCTATAGCCATGGGTTGCTGTGGGTAAACCGAGGACCCCCCAGGAACATGAAAGGACAGCTCAGGCTTCCAAGTCTTCAGCACTTGGCCCCTACTGTGACACCAGGTATCCTCAGAGGCCTGTCACCTGATTCCCACCCTTGTCCCAGTGCTGCCTCTGTGATTTTCCCCTCCCTGGCCCTCCTCTGAGTTCACACACCTCTTCTACATATTCCCCAACCTACTGACTGGGCCCCATGGCCCCCATGGGCATCTCTGTGGCCTTGGTTGGGAGCCAAACCCAGGTCAGCCTTGAGGTGTATCTGGGGATGCTGAGAGCCACCTAGAGCTCTAGCCTGCAGCTTAGCTTCCCCTGCCTGCCCAACCTAGCTGTCTATAATGCCAGAGCCAGGGAAAGCTCCCTCATGATGGACCCTGAGGGTTCTCACAGGCCCGGCCTCTTTGGAGGAGACCACATCCTCAGCCTGGTATCACTGGAGCCTCTGGAGAAAGCCAAGGTCAAGGAAAGTGCAGCTAAATCGTGGGGAGGACCAGAAGCCAGAGCTGACATCTGGCCCGGTGGGCCAAAAGCTAGGACTCCAGGCACAGACCTGAGATGGAGGCTGGGGGTGAAGGGTAGGGCACTCAAAGGATAGACTGTAATGGGCCCAGCTGGCATGGGGCAGAAGGCAGAGGAGGAAGCAGAGCAAGGCAGGCACCTGGTCTCCTGGTTACTGGTACTGCTGTGGGGCTGGGACTTGGTGGAGTCTGTTGAGTTGGACTCAGAGTAATTGACGGAAGATGGGGAAGAGGAGGACGAGGAGGAGGACGACGAGGATGAGGAGCTGGGTGCAGGGTATTTACTGTGGTTCTGTTTGCTCTTGGTGGACACGACGCCATTGCTACAGCTGGGACTGTCTGCTCCTAGAAGCCAGGGGGACAGTAAGAAGAGGAGGGGCAGCTTGCCTTCAAGTGGAGCCCCAAGAATAACCACAGTGGTCCCATTTCCCTTCTCCCAAATCCAGCAGCGAGCCCGGAGCCCAGCCCAGGAAAGGGTATGTGGGGTGGCCTCTCTCCACACCAGTTCTTCCCAGAGCCCTCTGGAGATTGGCTGACCTGTGTTGTGCATGTGGGAACTACTGGGGCCATGTCGGGGGCTGAGGCTGGGGGAGCCAGGGTAGCTGTCCTGGGACTTGGGGCTTCGGGAGCTCAAGCTGCGGACCTCACTGTCCGTCCCATTCACCATCTCCACAAACTGCCGGCACCTGCGGAGGGAGCGGAGCAATAATGCTCTGGTTGTGGTCCAGGCTGATGTTCCCACCATCAGCTGAGAGGGGCTGGACTCTGGGGGAGCTGGGGTCATGCCCAAGACTTACTTGAGCATGAAGAGGAGGTTGGGGTTGTGCTCCAGCAGCCCTGGGTAGAAGCGCTGGGTGGTCTCGATGGCCTCGCCCACACGGCCCTCCAGCACCAGCTTCTGGATCTCTGCAGGGTGCAAGAACACAGCAGTGAGCAAGGGCTACAGACCTCTCCCACAGCCACACGCCTGGGATGCTGCCAGCCTCAGGGCAGGGGCCGGCCATGATCAGATGGGCTGGCTCAGAGTGCCTCGCCAGCTTGAAATGCTCACAGGAGAGGAGGCTGGAGAAAGAACCTGACTGCCCAGCCCAACAGATCCTGGTTTCTGCCAAGCGTCAGAGTCCTCAAGAATACGGGGAAGATGGAAGGGAAACTCAGTCCAAAGGCAGGAGGGTAAATGTGGAGGCCTGTTCCTGCAAGGCACATGGTGCCAGGAACCTGGGGGCAGGGTAGGGCCCCAGCTGGTGCAGCATGATCTGGGGATGGGCACCCAGGCAGCATGGTGGCCTGAGGGGCTCCTCTTCAGATAGACTCCTCTCTTTTCAGGCCTCACAGGGTAATGGCAAGGAAATCACACTGGTTTCTGATCAGGATTGTGCCTGGTGGTCTTCAGGGGCTGCAGCATGCCCCCTGCTGGGAGAGGAGGCCATCCTCCTCATACTGGCACCTCTGACGTTCACACCTCTCAGGCCATCAGCATCTTGCTGCTGCCTTTTTGCTCTTGCCATGGGGCCTGGTGCATCTCACTGGGAGCAACTTCAGGGTCTGAGGCTCTCATTCATAGATCCCAAGTCTGGGATCCCTTTCTGTCTGTCTGGCTGAACACAGCTTCTCTGGGAGACAGAAACATGCATATACAGAAGAGACAGCAGGCTCGGAAAGGGGCAGGCAGGCACTCACAGACACGCATATCCACACCCACTCGCCCTCACTCTCCTTTTCTCCTTCTAGCTCCTCGCTGGGCTCTTTTTCCACTTTTCCAACACCGCTCCTTCCATGAAAGAGCCTCCAGATGCACAGCATCCAGGCCAGCATCAACACTGGGAGAGCTCTGGCGAAGCAAGGACTCTAGGTGGTCAGCAAAGGGCAGGACCAGAGGTGGGGAGCGGAGAGCAGTGCCCCCATAGCAGTCATTGAGCACTGGCTTTGCCCTGTCTGACCATTTCAGTCCCCTCTCTGGCTAAGAATAAGCAGAACTACTAAGGCTGAGTAAATGGTGAGAAAGGCAGAGAGTTTGGCAACAGGCAAACAGTCTCCCTGGAAGACCATGAACAGGAGGCTGAGAGGAATCCAGGATTCAGAGGGGAAGGAAACAAGCAGGGAGGAAATGGAGGAATGGAACCAGCCATGCCAGGGCCTGGCCTGCGCCCAGCCTTCAGAATGTGCATTAGGGAGGCTGCCCTGAGACGTCTCCGTCTTGCCAACTGTCCATCGGGGCAGTGCCATCTTGAAGGTGGGACAGGAACATGGCCTTGGACTGCAGGCTGGTCATGAGGACCAGAGCTGAATGGACTCCTGACAGGTGAACCAGAGTTGGCATGAGCCAGAGAGCAGAGTTAGGGACAGGTGAGGGAGGAAAAGGGGAAAGCAGAATAAACCTTACTTTGTCTGTTCTTTATGGATGCCTGTTCTTCCTGAATCGGGGTTTCAGTCATTCGAGCAAAAGCTGTGGCTGTGGCACAATACCCATGATGCACGAGGTAAGATGAGACCATGCTAGAAGAAAGGAAGAGCTTCAGGTGACACTCAAGAACTGCACTTCTCACTGACCACCCGATGGACTCAGGGCAGATTACCTCCCCCAGAGGTCTCCCTAAACACATCCTGGAGGTGTAACCTCCACAGAATGAGAATAAAGGGGCTGAAACAAAACGAAAACTTCCCCCATGGTGCCCCGTGGTCACGAAGTCAGGCTGCGGAGGGGCTGTTCACCTGTGTGCCCACAGTTCAGAGGAGTGGCTGCAGCTTCTCTGAGACATGCTGCCCACAAGTAAGCGAGTACGATAACAGAAGTACACACACAGGCACACTCCTCACAGGTGGCTGCCTCTTTGGGAACTGCAGCAAGCCTACAAGGCCAATGGTCTCACTGATAGCGTGCCGAAACTGCAGCCAGTCAGGTAATCTGGCAGCTTCCCAGACAAGATGCATGCCACATGCACACCTTCTACAGACACAGGAACCCCTCTGCAGGCTGTGCCATGTACCTGACAGAAGCATTTCAGTCCCCCAGGTGAACCTGCCCTCAGCAGTTCCAGCTCTAGTGAGTGAGTGATGGGAAGCTAACTCACAACCCAGAGTTACACCATGATATGCCACAAATCAGGGGTCCAAGAAGCCAAGCGATCAGGCTGATTTTGCCAGGCAGAGATAGGCAGCAGCAGGGCCAATGGGAACACAGTCACTGGGAAATGGTCTGGAGGAGTCTGACTCCCAGTAGCCATTTTACCCCAGCAGAAGCTGGCTGAACAGTGGCACATGTGTGTACACATATAGAGCAGAGGCTGAACCCTCAAATCTGATGTGTACAGGAGTGAACACCTTGGTGCGTGCATGTATCTGATGTCATTACTGTAACACAAATGTCTGAAGGGTTGTCAGGTGGAAGGCACAGAAGTTTGGGTGTGTGTTCCCTCAGGCTTTAAGGGGTAAATGAGATAATACACATAAAGTACCTGGCAGGAAGAAGTCCATAAATAAGACTTCTTGTTATTATGAAATGATATATTACATACTATTATAGTATAAATAACAATTATCAGCTGGGCATGATGGCTCCTGACTGTCATCCCAGCACTTTGGGAGGACAAGGCGAGAGGATCACTTGAGGCCAGGAGTTCAAGACCAACCTGGCCATCATTGCAAGATCTCATCTCTACTTTAAAAATAATTATTGGCTGGGTGTAGTGGCTCTCGCCTGTAATCCCAACACTTTGGGAGGCCGAGGCAGGCAAATCACTTGAGCCCAGGAGTTTGAGATCAATCTGGGCAACATGGTGAAACCCTTCCCCATAAAAAATACAAAAAATTAGCCATGCATGGTGGTGTATGCCTACAGTCCCAGCTACTCAGGAGACTGAGGTAGGGGAATTGCTTGAGCCCAGGAGGTCGATGCTGCAGTAAGCCATGACTGTGTCACTGCACTCTGCCTGGGCAATACAGTAAAATCCTGACTCAGAAAAAAGTAAAGTAAGTATAATTATTATTATTATACCATATTATTATTATAAACACAAGGGGAAATATGAAAAATTCTTTACCTACAAGAGGGTTACCTACACAAGTAAAAGAGAGGAAATTACCAGACCTTCCACTAGAGGAAGCCAGCCAAAAGGCGTGTGACAAATTTGTCTCTGTGATAACATAGCCATTATCAATATTCATTAAATGAAGTTATATAAAACCATAGTACACAAATTATATGCAGGTCTTGGCAAATGCTACATATGAACACACACAAGCACATGGATACACACATGGAAACAGAAACACCTATGTGCTATGCCGGACATGGTAGCACATGCCTGTGATGCCAGCTACTCAGGAGGCTGAGGTGGGAGGATCACTTGAGCCCAGGAGTCCAACCTAGGCAACATAGTGCGACTCCATCTCAATATTTTTATAAAAACCCCGAAACAAAAACACATCCATGTGCTGAGCCTAGGCCCTGGAAACTGAGAGGATCAGTTCCTCCTCTACACAGACTTGGCATCTTCACCCCTCTCCTTGCCCATCCCACCAAGCCTGCTATGGGAGTGGCACTGTCCTGGCCATCCAAGGAAGTCCTTGTCATCTGCTCTGGGGGACTGGGAACAAGAGGCAACAATGCTGTTTTTCCTGGGGAAGGTCTGGCCACCTAGCCCCTGCCTCAGCCCATCCTTGGGGTCTACCTCAAGGGACAAAGGCTGTACAAAGAAACCAGTGTGCACCCCAACCCCACCCCAAGGACCCTAGCACCCTGGTGCCTTTGCAGGGCAATGACCAGAGGTAGTGGAAGCCTAGCTGTTCCCGTGCCCATCTGCCCATCCTTGGGAGCCAAGCTAACACCCACCTCCTGGCAGAGTGGGTACTGGTCACTGCCTCACTCAGGCTGGCAGATGGCAAGTGCAAGAGAAACCCAAAGCTGGCCTCCCTTGGGAGTTCAGTGACACTGGCTTCCAGGACAGTCTGGGAATTAATCAGCCAAGGAGCTAGCTTAGCTGGTCCTAGGGAGGACTCCCTTCCTTCCACCACTGCTACAGACGAATGAGACTCAGCTGGATGCTGGGCCCTGTGAGGTGGCCTCAGGCCAGAGTCACGGCATCATGGATACTCCCTATGGTAGAAAAAGGGTCCACACAGGAAGAGACCACAGGGCATCCTCTGCAAAACCCTCTGCAAAATGACCTGGTGAAGGAAAACAGCCCTGCTGGTGATCTTATATACAGGAACCTCCAATCTGGCTGAGAGGCAAAGGTTTAATTAGGAGTAGCCCAGAGAACTTGGCGGGAACTGTGCATCTGACGAGAGAGAAGCAGGAGAGCTGCAGGCTGAATCACCCTGGGAATGTTTCCCAGAAAGGATCCACCCGCTGGAATTTGTAAGAACAGCTTGTAGCCCTACAGGCGCCTAGAGTGAAGTGGGCTGGGGTGGGGTGGGGGTGGGTAAGGGCTGGAGCAGGGCACTCACTTCTGCAGCACTGCCTGCCACTCGCCAAGCCGAGCACTGATGGGGAAGCAGTGGACCGTGCCCTGGACCTTGGCACGCCACTCCCGCATGTAGTCCTCAATGTCAAACAGGAAGGGCTGCTGACCAAAGTTGGCGTCCACAATCTCCCCAGGTGTCTGCAGGCCTACGGTGGGGTAGAGGTTGGCCTGAGGAGGAGAATGAAATGTCAGTCAGGCCCTAAGGGCAGTGGGGTGGTAAGGCCTCACCTCACCTCCATGGCTGCTGCCGCCCTATACTCGGGCTGGGAGAGTTGCAGCAAGGCTGGAGGAGGCAGGGCAGAGCCACCTCTGTCCACCTCCCTAGCAGAGACATTATGCCCCAAAGCTTGAGGGGAGAAAGCAAAAGAAAAGCAAGCAAGGCACATCATGGAGAGTGTCCTGCCCTGCATCAGAGGCCATTGTGTCCTGAAGGCCCAAGAACCCTTTCTGGAACTCAGTCAAGGCATACAGAGATGGGCTGGGCTCCACAACCCTGCAGACATGCCTGTGAAGGTCTGCTGCAATGGTGGATCATGGCTCCTCTTGGAAAGTTCCAGGGCCAAGGATCTCTCTGCCACAAAAAAATAGACACATGAGGCTGGGCACGGTGGCTCATGCCTGTAATCCCAGCACTTTGGGAGGCCAATTTAGGAGGATCGCTTGAGCCCAGGTTTTCGAGACCAGCTTGGGCAACAAAGTGAGACCCTGTCTCTACAAAAAATAAAAAAATAAAAATTAGCCAGGTGTGGTGGTGTGCACCTGTGATCCCAGCTACTCGGGAGGCTAAGGTGGATGGCTTGAGTCCAGGAAATTGAGGCTGCAGTGAGCTGCGATTCTGCCACTGCAACCCAGTCTTGGTGTCAAGAGTGAGTCCCTGCCTCAAAAAAAAAAAAAAAAAATAGATACACAATGGGGTAGGCAGAGATGGGATGACGCAGGAAAGGAGGGAGGAGGGGAGCATGGCAAAAGGGAACCAGTGGTCTAGACCCCTGGTGCTGGCAAAGGGTGAAGAGAAGCTACCCTTCCTGTCAGACGCTCGCTAAGAGGAGGATCTTCTGGCCAGTAGGGTGTAGGGCTCCCTGCTTTCCACCTAGCTTCTGCCATGACTGGCTTTTGTCCAGTCCCTCCCTCACTTGATGGTTCCTGGGGCTCCCCGCTGCTACTATCCAGAGCCTCGCTAGCCTCCTCCCCACTGTCACTGCAGATGGTCTTCTTAGGGCCCTCAGTCCACTCTTCATCCCATGCTCAGGCCATGTTCCTTCCTGAGTACCATGCAGTTTTTTTCTTTGAGATGGAGTTTCGCTCTTGTTGCCCAGGCTGGAGTGCAATGGCACAGTTTCAGCTCACCGCAACCTCCACCTCCTGGGTTCAAGCGATTCTCCTGCCTCAGTCTCCTGAGCAGCTGAGATTACAGGCATGCGCCACCATGCCCTGCTAATTTTGTATTTTTAGTAGAGACAGGGTTTCTCCATGTTGGTTAGGCTGGTCTTGAACTCCCGACCTCAGGTGATCTGCCCACCTTGGCCTCCTAAAAGTGCTGGGATCACAGGCATGAGCCAGCGCACCCGGCTAACCATGCATTTTTGTATCTGCACAAGGTGTGGGACTTTTTCCTGTATGCTGGCTTCAGCCCACCATGGGCTCTGCACACAGAGGACCTCTCGCTTCCTTTTTTCCCCCTACCATCCTCCACACCAAAGGCAAGGCCCACCTCCTCCAGCAAGCCTTCCCTGACCGTCACTGCCCACAATGTCATCCCCCATACCTTCTTGCATGTGGATGCATACTGGCAGTGCTCATGCCTGGTCATTTCATGAAACGTCCCCATAACTAGACTCTTCCCTAGCCAGGGTTAGCATTCTCCACCTGAATCTGCTCTTTGCCTAGGACCACAGCCCCTCTCTGGGGCTTCCAGGTAGGAGGGAAGGATTCTGAGCCATAGACTGGAGGTTCTAACAGGACCCTGGGTGCTATGGTCTGGGTTTCAGAGGCCCATAAGATCACAAAGCCATTTCCTGGGGCATTACTGGGGTGTCTGGGATCCCAAAGCAGCCACCAAAGTCAGCAAACCTTCCTTCCTTCCAGAACCCTGCCAGAACACACAGAGCCAGGCCAGGCTCCCAGCATCCTGGGTGGAGGCACTGCATGTGATTAGGCCTGTGATGACTCATAATAAAGAGGTACTGGGGTACAGGTGTGGGATGGCTGGAGGTGAGGATACACCCTGAACTAAGCAAGCAGAAAACCCCATCCTTTTATAAGAAGAGAAGACCCCACAAAGCTCACCTCTCTGGCTTGGGGGTGCCCTAGGTAGTAGCAGATGAGTTCCCCTAGGGCACTGGCTTTCCTCAGGGATCTCTGATGGGTATGTACAGGGACTGGGTTCCCTCACAGTCTCACAGTTCAGGAATAATTCCCTACACTCTGCACCCCAGGTGACACAGAGCTGGCTTAGACCAGCTGAGCCATGGAGCTATCTTCATTCCACCACCCTAACCCCCCCAGGCCCACAGCTGCCTCTGGAAATGCCACAAATTACTGTCACCTGCTAAGAGTCGTAGGCAGACCAGACCTTGCTGCTGGAGAGAGAGGAAGGCCAGCAAGTGCCCCTCCTGGTACCCTCAAGCTGACAGCATGGCACACATCCCTGGTTGGGGAAAGAACCAGACTCCACACCCTGCACTTGCAGGTACCACCATGCCCACCCCAGTCAGCCCCCAGAAGCCCAGGAGGGGAAGACCCAATAGTAGTACTCACCGGGAGGTCTGTGAAGGCTATACCTGTAGGGGGAAAGGAACAGTTATCAGGGCCAGCCCCTGGGGCTACTCTGCCTCTGCACCCCATGGTGGAGCCAGTGCTAGGGCCAGGTATTATTTTTTTGGTTTCTTGGTGGTGGTGGTGTTGTTTTGAGACAGAGTCTCCCTCTGTAGCCCAGGCTGGAGTGCAGTAGTACGATCTTGGCTCACTGCAACCTCTGCCTCCCGGTTCAAGCGATTCTCCTGCCTCAGCCTCAAGAGTAGCTGAGATTACAGGTGCCCACCACCACACCCATATTGTATTTTTAGTGGAGACAGCGTTTCACCATGTTGGTCAGGCTGGTCTTGAACCCCTGACCTCAAGTGATCTGCCCGCCTCAGCCTCCCAAAGTGCTGGGATTACAGGCATGAGCTATCGTGTCCGGCTGGGCAGTTTTTTTTTTTTTTTTTTTGAGATGGAGTCTCGCTTTGTCGCCCAGGCTGGAATGCAGTGGCGCGATCTCGGCTCACTGCAAGCTCTGCCTCTCAGGTTCACGCCATTCTCCTGCCTCAGCCTCTGAGTAGCTGGGAATACAAGCACCTGCCACTACACTGGGCTAATTTTTGTGTATTTTTAGTAGAGACGGGGTTTCACCATGTTAGCCAGGATGGTCTTGATCTCCTGACCTCATGATCCGCCCACCTTGGCCTCCCAAAGTACTGGGATTACAGGCGTGAGCCACTGAGCCCGGCCCGGGTTAAGTAGTTTTAATTAGACCATGACCTTCTCTTCACTGGTGGCCTGGCCAGAAGTGAAAACAGATGCTTAGGTAGGTGCACAGTTCTTCCACCCTCAAGCCTGCTAAGGGGAACTAAATTCAAAAGATCTATCCCCTGCGGCCCTTTAGAAGGCCTGATTCTTCTCTTGATTCGACACATATTTATGGAAACCTATTGTGCATGCCAGATCCTTTTTTGGAAACAGGGTCTCATTCTGTCGCCCAGGCTACAGTGCAGTAGCACAAACTTGGCTCACTTCAACCTCTGCTTCCCGAGTTCAAGCAATTCTCCTGCCTCAGCCTCCTGAGTAGCTGGGACTACAGGCACATACCACCATGCCCGGCTAATACATATTTTTGTATTTTTGGTAGAGATGGGGTTTCACCATGTTGGCCAGGCTGGTCTTGAATTCCTGACCTCAAGTGATCTGCCCGCCTTGGCCTCCCAAAGTGCTGGGATTACAGGCGTGAGCCACCACGCCTCACCCCTTTTCCATCCATTACTTCGTCTGATCCTCATACCAACTTTGGGAAGCAGGCTTATCCCATTTTACAAAGGAGAAAAGCCTCAGAGGTTCGACAATTTGCCAGTAGTCATAAAGCTAGCTAGCAAAAGTGGTGGGGCTGGATTCGTTCCGATGCTCCAATGTCATCTCTAAGCTGACAGAGAAGCGGAAACAGGGAGCAGCTGCCTATCTCCAGACCATACGCAGTCAGAGTCCTCACAGGTTCCAAGCGGGCAAAGCACAGGTTAACAATGACCTGTGTGTGAGGATCTCTTGAGAACAGGAGTTCAAGACCAGCATGAGCAACACAGCGAGGCTCCGTCTCTACAAAATATATAAAATTAGCTGTGGTCCCAGCGACTTGGGAGGCTGAGACAGGAGGACCACTTGAGCCCTGCAGGTTGAGGCTGCAGTGAGCTAGTACGATTGTGCCACTGGGTTCTAGCTTGGGTGACAGAGCAAGACCTCGTCCCAAAAAAACAAAAACAAAAAATAGCTTGTCAAAAACCCTCCTGCCAAGAGAAGTGGCTGCATTTCTAGGGACCTCAGCTCTGAATTGGAAGTGAGAGTAGAGGGCAGTGGGACCCCAACTATATAAGCAGGCCACCAGAGCACCCATGTTATTCACATTAGGAAATGACTCAAGACCAGTGGAGATTCTCCCAAGGACTCAAAATCCTCTCATTTTTTAAATAAAGTCTTTTTTTTTTTTTTTTTTTTTTTTTTTTAAGATGGAGTCTAGTTCTGTCTCCCAGGCTGGAGTGCAGTGGCGTGATCTCGGCTCACTGCAAGCTCCGCCTCCCAGGTTCATGCCATTCTCCTGCCTTAGCCTCCCAAGTAGCTGGGACTACAGGTGTCTGCCACCATGCCCGGCTACGTTTTTTTTTGTATTTTTAGTGGAGACAGGGTTTCACCGTGTTAGCCAGGATGGTCTCGATCTCCTGACCTCGTGATCCGCCTGATTCAGCTTTCCAAAGTGTTGGGATTACAGGCGTGAGCCACCGCGCCCGGCCAAGTTCACGCCATTCTCCTGTCTCAGCCTCCCGAGTAGCTGGGACTACAGGATCCTGCCACCACGTCCGGCAATTTTTTTGTATTTTTAGTAGAGATGGGGTTTCACTGTGTTAGCCAGGATGGTCTCAATCTCCTGACCTCATTATCCACCCATCTCGGCCTCCCAAAGTGCTGGGATTACAGGCGTGAGCCACCGCGCCCAGCCCTAGATAAAGTCTTACATCTCCCAGAAGCTCCTGAGCTTTTGGCCTCAGAGGTTTTCAAACTGCTGATTCCTTAGAGATCTCCAGTCTGCTACTCCAACCCCTACCCAGAAAAGAAATTGAAGCCCTGCAAAATAAAACAGGTGAGGATCTGACAACAGGTCTCCCAGAAACCTGGCTGGAATCATGTCAGCCAGTGCATACCACATGCTTCCTTTCTGCTGGGCACTGGACTGAGCGTCTTATAAGGCACCATTCAATCCTTAGACAACCTTGGAAGATGTATACTGCCTCTGACACTAGGTCACATATGAAAAAACCAAGGTGCAGAGAGATGGTTTATATTCTTTGTTTGGCTATTTTGTTTGCTTCTCACTGAGGGATGCTCATAAGCCACATGGTCTGTCTGTCTGAGGCCACTTCTGGGCCCCACATGCACAGTCGGCATGACTCTGGCATGCTGGCAGGATTGAATCTGGAAATCTCTCTACCCAGGAGGAGACCCCAATGTCCACCTTCCAGGTCTGCCCAGGAGCTGCCCTCATGGATCTCAGCATGGCCAGGATATTGCTTACTCCAGGGCTCACGGAGGAGTCCCCAAGAAGCCTGGAAAAAGGGAATCCAAGCTCCATAAGTTATATGCAGTGTGACCTTTGGCGAGTATCCCAACCTCTCTGAGCTCAACTGAAAAAAAGAGATAATATCGATATCTCGACTTCAAGGAAAAAGGGAGAAAATGAGACATTCTGTGAAAGCTACTTCATGTACTCTGAGGTCTAGATATAAGTCAGCTGCAGTAATGCCACAGGGTGAGGCAACTGCAACACTTTTGGTCAGGGGATGACTTACCCAGGCTTGCCCAACTCTGCCTCTCAATGGCACCCAGGAAGGATAAGGCCTTGAGGTGCTTTCAGGAGAACGAGGAAAGACACTACTCCACCCACTACTGCACTAGACAAGGGCAACACTGCTCCTCCAGCCTGCAACGTCACTTTGATGGCAAGATCTGAGTTGGCCCACGGGAAGAAAGTTCAGGCAAAGATCCAGAATGCAAATAGGAAAGCCAAACTTGCTGATAAGGAGTACCCTGAGTCAAACAGACATAGGTCAGGGACCACTGAGGCTGAGAACATAAAGACCTTGTGGGAAAGCACAGAGCTGTGTGGAAATGACTCTGTGAGCACATGGACCCCTTGCAAATGAGACATCAGTCCGTATCTCCGTTCACTCATTCCTTCATCCTTCTACCAAGTATTTGCTGTCACAAGACTAGAGAAACAGCTGTAGAGCCTGGCCCTCAGATTCCAGCAAGAGAGATGGCATATGACTAACAATTACGCAGACAACTGACCAATAGTACATAGGGCAAGGGCTGTTGACAGAGGAAAGGAGCAGGGAGGCCAGAGGCAGGAGACATCATTCCGCTGCTGTAAAATGGGGAAGGGTTCGATTCTGAAGCACATTATTGATAGGATGGCTTGGGAAAAGGAAACAGGGACAGTAGAAGATTCACCACGCATTCTGTCACTCCAACTTCACTGCTTTCCCATTACATTTTGTGATCTAAAAATGCAGGGGACAGGCCATATCCCATTTTCAGTAAGGTTTCAATAATATCCATGTGGAAAAAATGGAAAAATATGAGCTTCAGGAACTGATTTTTTTTTTTTTTAATAGGGACCGGACCTCACCACTTGCCCAGACTCATCTCGAATTCCTGGGCTCAAGCCATCTGCCCACCTCGGCCTCTCAAAGTGCTGGGAATACAGGCGTAAGCCGCTGTGTTTGACCAACTTAGTTATTCCTTTTTTTTTTTTTGAGACAGAGTCTCGCTCTGTCGCCCAGGCTGGAGTGCAGTGGCGCGATCTCGGCTCACTGCAAGCTCCGCCTCCCGGGCCCACGCCATTCTCCTGCCTCAGCCTCCTGAGTAGCTGGGACCACAGGTGCCTGCCACCGCGACCGACTAATTTTTTGTATTTTTAGTAGAGACGGGTTTCACCATGTTAGTCAGGATGGTCTCGATCTCCTGACCTTGTGATCCACCCGCCCTGGCCTCCCAAAGTGCTGGGATTACAGGCGTGAGCCACCGTGCCCGGCCAACTTAATTATTCTTAAATGGCTGATGTCTCCCAGGACAAGCTCAACTGTACACTGAAGGGCTCAAATCTTAACCTTCTCTTCTTTCTATATTTTTTAACAACATCTTCATGAAAACATAAACACAAACAACAAATTTTAGATTAATACAACACTGAAAAGGATATCAAATATTTGAGATAGAACAAGTAAGAACACAGAAGGTGCTGACAGGCTGGAAAAAAAGTCAAAATACTACTAGATGAAGTTTAATTACAAGATGTGTGAGGTCTTGGATGGGGGTCTATAAAAAGCATCCACTAAGGAGATGGGTTTCTAAAAACAGCCGAAGGGTTTGAGGTGATATTAAAGTGGCCATCTGCTCTCTATGGGACCTTGGGACTTGACTGACAAAGAGCTCATGGCCCTTTGGTGGTCCTGGTGCACATGAAGGGCCTGGAGGACACAGATGCAGGTACAGAGGGAACAGCAGAGTCTGCCCCCATCCACGAGCAAAATGTGGGCAAGCTGGAGGGATGTGAGGAAGGCAGCTATACAAGGGGGCGGATGAAGGGGGGCTTGCATATAGGGTGAGAGCCCACAATAGTGGCCCCTGGGACTTTGATAGCAGAACCCAGAACCAAGAAATAGCTGGAGTCAGAGTGCAGAGTGGAGAGTGAAGAGCTGTTTTGAGGCCCTGGCCCACCCTCTACCCGCTAGCTCCTCACCAGCTGGTCACTAGCAACTGCAGCCAGGTGGTCATCAATTTCAGAGGAGGGTTTCTCTGATGTGCACCTAGGTCAGCTCAGTAGTGTCTGTGCTATGTTCTCGGCTGCCTAGCTACCAAGGCTTTCCTGCCAACTCTTAGCTGGGGCATCCAGTTGCCCTATTGAGGAATGCTGGCTCCTAGGCATGCAGCCCCAGCCATCAGCAATCCAATTCCCACTCAGGTGCCCTGATTCTAGCTGCGCTCATCCCCTGGAGAAGTCACAGAGGGGATGTGGAGAGTTGCAGCCACCTTTTTACTGAGCCTCAAGCCAAGGGAAATGGGACTTATAGGAGTTGGGTTCCAAGTAAAATGCCCAACTCCCTTTCCTGGCAGAGCTGCTGGCAGCTGGGCTGGTAGAGTTCTGCCAGTCCTCTCCTCACTATACCATTCCATTCTGGAGAACTAGGGTGTGTAGACTGGAGACCTCTGCAAACCCAGGCAGGCAGACCAGGCAGTTAGTCACCACCTCAGGGCCAATGTGGTCAAATACCAGTTAGCACCCAGTAGGCAAGGCATCAGAATAGCCAAAGTCTCTTCCTCTCAAGCCCTAATCCTAAATGTCTATGCACGTACAGGAATGCTCCTTCCAGGGATCCCACAGGCCCCATCCTCTTCCACTGATTGCAATTTCTCCTCGGTTTCTTCTCCTGGTTAACAGCAATACCAATCCAGCCATTTTCCCACCTTGCCTTCTTGCAAGTGTACCCCATCTGTCACCAAGCCCTGCAGGGCCACACCTGGGCCTTTGTCCTGTATTCATCCCTACTGCCTTACCTCAGGCTATCTGCCTCTTCCCCTGGTCTTTACTCTGGTCCATCCTTCATGGTTTCACCAGAAGCCTTTTTCAATGTAACTGCCCCGGCTGCTGCCCATTCACCAAGAACAGACCAGAGGTCTGGCCCTATCTCACTCCAGCCTGTTTACCTCCTGGACTAGTGCCACCCTCACTGCTGCTCCACAGCAACCAGCACCAAAGTCTGGGCCAAGTCACAGGCACGCAAACCACCACCACACAACCTATGTGAGGGTTCCCCAAACTTCTCATCAGATGCCAAACCTTGCTCCATCAAGTGCCACCAAAGCCAAGATCACGACCAGGATACTACTGCACTCTCAGCATCCTCCGTGGGCTGGATAAATGCAGCTGACCGGCTGGATGAACAAAGGCGTGCCCCTGCTACCCTCTATTCACCTGAAAGGGCTCCAATGCCTGGAAATGGTGCGGTACCCCAGAGCTCAGCAGAGGCGACACTGCCTTGAGCACTTGCCCCTGAGCCTCTCACCAACCAAACTGGCTCCACAGAGCAGAGCCTCCAAGGTCCCTCATGCACACACCAAGGCTGTGGCCATTCTTGGTGTAGAAGCAGGTGCCATTGATGAGGTTGACGCAGCAGCCGATCACGTCTCCTGTGGTGAATGTGGGACCATAGGGCTGGCCAGTCCCCGAGGAGCAGAAGGAATGCCCATCATCACCATGGTAACCATAGGAATGTTTGTCCCAACCTGTGGGGGAAGAGAGCAGCAATAACTGAGTAGGTACTTGAGGGAGGAACAAGACAGTCACAGAAGCCCACCCAGGTCTCTCAGCCTCTCCTCAGCCTGCCCCACCTCTGTCAGCACTCTTGGCTTCTAACAGAGCCACCAGTAGACAGAGTCTGGCTGTGAGTCCAGTAGGTGACCGCCCAAGTAGCTGATGCAGCCCCACAGAGGAATGATCCCATGCTGTGGTTAACAGGATCAGTGACCCGGAAGGAACACATGAGAGGGTGGCACAACAAGGAGGTGGTCAGGGGAAGCCTTGTGAAGGAGCGAGAGCTGGAAGTGACCTTGGAAGTGTATCTGGCAGGTTGTTGAAAATGTTTTTTTGTTTGTTTGTTTGTTTTGAGATGGAGTCTCACTCTGTCGCCCAGGCTGGAGTGCCGTGGCGCAACCTCGGCTCACTGCAAGCTCTGCCTCCCAGGTTCATGCCATTCTCCTGCCTCAGCCTCTGGAGTAGCTGGGACTACAGGGACCCACCACAACATCTGGCTAATATTTTTTATTTTTAGTAGAGATGGGGTTTCACCATATTAGCCAGGATGGTCTCGATCTCCTGACCTCGTGATCCACCCGTCTCGGCCTCCCAAAGTGCTGGGATTACAGGCTTGAGCCACCGTGCCCGGCCAATTCTCTCTTTTAAACTGTACAATTCAAATGAGTTTTAACAAATGTATACAGTTGAATTACCACCACCACAATCAAGACACGGAACATTTCCATCACTAAAGCTGAGCATGGTGGCTCATGCTTGTAATCCTAACACTTTGGGAGGCTAAGGCGGGAGGATCACTTGAGGTCAGGAGGTCAAGATCACCCTGGGACAACATAGTGGGACCTCATCTCTATAAAAAATTTAAAAAATAGTCCAGGGGCAGTGGCTCACACCTGTAATCCCTACACTTTGGGAGGCCGTGGCGGGTGGATCACCTGAGGTCGGGAGTCCAAGACCAGCCTGACCAACATGGAGAAACCCCGTCTCTACTAAAAATACAAAATTAGTTGGGCGTGGTGGGGCACGCCTATAATCCCAGCTACTTGGGAGGCTGAGGCAGGAGAATCGCTTGAACCCAGGAGGCAGAGGTTGTGGTGAGCTGAGATCGTGCCACTGCACTCCAGCCTGGGCGACAGAGCAAGACTCTGTCTCAAAAATAATAATAATAATAAATTAGCCAGGTGTGGTGGTGCCTGCCTGTAGTCCCAGGTACTCAGGAGGCTGAGGTGGGAGGATTATTTAAGCCCAGGAGTTCAAGGCTGCAGTGAGCTATGATCATGCCAGTATACTCCAGCCTGGGCAACAAAGTGAGACCCTATCTCCCCAAGAAAAGTTCCCTCAGGCCTCTTGGGAGTCAATTTATTCCATCTATCCCCAGTCCCTGGCAACACTGATCTGATGTGTTCCTATGGTTTTGCCTTTTCCAGAATTTCACATAAATGGAATCATAGAACATGAGGTGTCTTGCCTGGCTTCTTACACTTAGCACAATGCATCTGCAATCCATCCATGTTGTTAGGAGAAGCAGTGTTCCATTCCTTTTTATTGCTGAGTAGTACTCCATGTTATGGATACACCCCAGTTTTTCTGTCTGTTTATACACCAGTTGATGACACTTGAGTTGTTATAATTTTTAGCTATTATGAATAAAGCCAACAAATATTTGCTTTAAGGTATTTGCACAGACATATGTTTTCATTTCTCTTGGGTAAATACTTACAAGTGGTATTGCTGGGTTATAAGATAACTGTATGTTTAATTTGATAAGAAACTGTCAAACTGTTTTCCAAAGTGGCTGCGCTATTTTGCTTTCCAACCAGCAATGTATGAGTTCCATATCTTCTTCAGTATTTACTATTCTCAGTTTTTTTTAATTTTGGCCTTTTAGTGTATATATAGTGGTTTTAATATCACTGTGGTTTTAATATACATTTTCCCTATGACAAAATATATTGAGTATCTTTTAATGTACTCATTTCTCATCTATTTGTTGGAAAACTATTCAACTGTCTATTCAAATTTTTAACTCATTTTTTTATTGAATTGTTTATTGTATTGCACTTGTTTATTGCATTGCACTGTAAAGGTTGATATATTTTAGATACAAGTCCTTTTATGTTCTGTGAGTATTTCTTCCAGTCTGTGGCTTATCATCATTTTTTTGGGGGGGGAGGGGTAAGAAAGGGTCTCTCTCTCTCTTCTAGACTGGAATGCAGTGGCCCAATCTCAGCTCACCACAACCTCCGCCTCCCAGGCTCAAGGGATTCTCCTGCCTCAGACTCCTGAGTAGCTGGGATTACAGGCACACGCCACTACCACCAGGCTAATTTTTGTATTTTTAGTAGAGACAGGGTTTCGCCGTGTTGGCCAGGCTGGTTTCGAACTCCTGACCGCAAATGATCCACGCGCCTTGGCCTCCCAAAGTGTTGGGATTACAGGCATGAGCCATGGCCATCCAGCCTCATTTTCTTTTATTTTTCTTTACTTTTTTTTTTTTAAGACGGAGTCTCGCTCTATTGCCCAGTCTGGAATGCAGTGGCGTGATCTCGACTCACTGCAAGCTCTGCCTCCTGGGTTCACACCTTCTCCCACCTCAGTCTCCCAAGTAGCTGGGACTACAGGCGCCCGCCACCATGCCTGGCTAATTTTGTTTTTGTATTTTTTAGTAGAGACGGGGTTTCACTGTGTTAGCCAGGATGGTCTCGATCTCCCAAAGGGCTGGGATTACAGGCGTGAGCCACTGTGCCCAGCCCTCATTTTCTTAATAATGCCTTTCAGGCTGGGCGCGGTGGCTCAAGCCTGTAATCCCAGCACTTTGGGAGGCCGAGGCAGGCGGATCACGAGGTCAGGAGATCGAGACCATCCTGGCTAACACAGTGAAACCCCGTCTCTACTAAAAATACAAGAAAATTAGCTGGGCGTGGTGGCGGGCGCCTGTGGTCCCAGCTACTCGGGAGGCTGAGGCAGGAGAATGGCGTGAATGCACTCCAGCCTGGGGCACAGAGCTAGACTCCGTCTCAAAAAAAAAAAAAAAAAAAAAAATGCCTTTCAAAGGTGGGCTGTGATCGTGATTGGGACTGTGTTGACTCTCTAGATCAATTTGGAGAGAATAGATGGCTTAACAATATTAATTATTCTGGCCAGGCGCAGTGGCTCCTGCTTATAATCCCAGCACTTTGGGAGGCTGAGGCAGGAGGATTGCTTGGGCCCAGGAGTTTGAGGCCAACCTAGCCAATATGGTGAAACTCTGTCTGTAAAAAAATACAAAAAAAAATAGCCGGGTATGGTGGCGGGTGCCTGCAATCCCAACTGCTTGGGAGGCTAAGGCAGGAGAATAGCTTGAATCTGGGAAGGCGGAGGTTGCAGTGAGCCGACATCATGCCACTGCACTCCAGCCTGGGCAACAAGAGCGAAATTATGTCTAAAAAAAAACGTGCATGGTACTCAGGAAGGAAAAAATATATATATATTACTATTATTTGTACAGATAGGGTCTTTCTATGTTGCCCAGGCTGGTCTCAAACTCCTGGCCTCAAGCGATCCTCCCACCTCTGCACCACGGTTTTATGCAAGGGGAAAGGGAAGTGAAAAAGGGAGGAGGATGTGCAGGCAAAGGCATGAGAACAGGTGGGGCAGGAGCGGTGGAGCTGCAGAGGAGCTCTACTGCCTGGCTAAGGAGGAGAAATGGAACCCATAGAGCCATGACAAGCCCAGGACCTGCACAGGCTAGGGAGCTGATGGGCTGACAGGCAGGTCTACTCCCCAGGCACTCCTCCAGGTAGCTTCCCCACTGTCTGCCTGCTTTCTCCTTGGGGCCTGAACAGCACACCATATGAACACGCTTAAGCACATCCCTCCCCTCCCAAGCGGCGTGGGTAGAGGCTCTCCTCTAAGTAGAGGATCTGAGTAGCTAGAAAGCAGGGCAAAGCTCAAACATTCACAGTACATGTGTGTATGTGGACGGGCAAGGCACAGGGTGTGGGCAGGCAGCAAGCAAAGGTGTGGGGGTGAGAAAAAAAGGATAACAGGGCCAAGGGCTGACAAGGGAGGCAGAGAGTGTGACTGCAGAGGTGACACAGCCCAAACCCTAGAGCCTAAACTCAGCATTTGAATCAGCAAGCACAAGGGAAGTTGTCCCCTTGGTCACAGCACCCGTCCCAAGCCTAGTGTACCCTGAGCTTTCATGTCTTTTCACCCAGGAAGCCTCTATTTAAACAAAGATTCTCCAGCACCCACAGTGGGAAACAGGCCAAGACTGAAGGGCTCTCGCAGACTGGTGGAGGACCTCAGCCCTGCTGGTCCCTCCTGCATCTCCCCACTGCATCACCAGAAAACCAGTGTGAGAGCTGCTTGAGACTGGCTTTAGAAGGGCCAAAGCCTCTACCTGGATCCAGACTCTATTCTCACTTTCTGAATTCCCCAAAGACATTCGAACTGCCTGGCTCAGGGCACACATTGCTGCTCTGAGCATCAACTCAGCTCCTAAGCTCACCAGGCCCAGCAGTGGGAGAGGTCTTTCTGTTGCTAGTGGGTATGCAAATCATTTGACCTCAGAGAAATAGCTCTTCTGGCGAACAATGCCCATTCCCCACCAAGAGGCAGGCTCATGAGGCCATCACAGTCAAGGCCTTTTCTCAGGCATCAACTAGGGAGGCACCATGATGGCGGCAGCTGTTCCCCTGGTCTATAGCAGGCTATAGATGAGGGCGGCCAGCTGGACAGCAGTGTGGAGCAAAGTGACAATCATGCCTCCAGGTCTGGCTCAGACTGTGGTGGCCCCAGGCATGCCCACCAGCTTGCCCTGACAGGATCCACAACCATGGGCTACAGCAGCCACAGAAGCCCTCCTCCTCCCGCTGCCCCTCATCCCTCAGATAGAGCACAGGGATTTCCCACTGCAAGGCAGTAACTGACAACAATGTGGCAACTGTTAGGAGAGCAACCATAATCCTGTGTGTTTGGCAGAGCACAA